TATATATACACATACTGTTTAGCAACTATATGCATTACCAAACACATGGAGGCATTTCTGTCATTGTATGTGTGTAATAGTAAAGTTATAATATACTGTATGTTTATAATTTCTGACAGCAGTCATGATGCTGGAACTCAATGTTATGTAAGTTGTTTTGTTTGTCAACACCAGGTCTAATTTATACATGACTAATTAATCCACGACAAACTATGAAGCGTGAGGAGCTTACATTAGATTTTGCTTGTACTCTACCTAAATAAAAACACAAGCTGTTTACTTGGATTTTTATTTTGTGAAGTGTTTGCCCATCTATCCAAAATAAATTCATAGTTTATCTGAGGTATTTAGCCATACAAACTTTTAAAAACCAAGTCTAGCCTGGTAACCTTATCAGTTGCATATCTTGGCCTGATGGGGGTGCTATAGGTAAAGGTCAGAATTTCAAAGCCTGATAATGTTACTTCCCTCTCTTTCTCTTCCAGGGACGAGGCATCAGGTTTCTGTTATGTGAACGATGCTGTGTTGGGAATCCTCAAACTTAGGGAGAAGTATGAGAGAGTCCTTTATGTGGATGTAGACCTGCATCACGGGGATGGTACGCATAAAATGTGAATGTAACAAATCATACAACTAATGCAGTCTGGCTCCCAGGCACTGTTTGATTAAATTAAGCTGTTTTTGACATATTTATTATCAGGAACCCCACCTTATTTGCCAGTAGGCATACATATTGAAAAGTATCATCATAAAGCATCTACATTTCACACTTTTTTTCCACCCCCTCTCTCTCTGCAGGTGTGGAAGATGCCTTTAGCTTTACATCCAAAGTCATGACCGTGTCTTTGCACAAGTTCTCTCCTGGATTCTTCCCAGGTCAGTCCAAGATGTTTAAGATATATGTTGTAATAATAAGGTATATTGCGAGAAAGTGTAAGATGTGTGTATCTTTATTTAGGTACGGGCGACCTGTGTGACACTGGGCTGGGTAAAGGCCGTTGGTACGCCGTGAATGTCCCGCTGGAGGATGGAATCAAGGATGACCGATACTACCAGCTTTTTACCAGGTACACACTGACATGCACAGAGTATTAGGAGTTTCCTGTGCAGGAACTTCTAAGATGTTTTCCTCAAAGGATCCCTGAGGAGAAATTTTGTTTTTCCTCCCACTGAGCATTTTACTCAAGGACACTTCAGCAG